GTATGTTTATGTAGTCTGCTTGGTTAGATTACGTATTGCTTAATGGGGGAAAAAATCTGGTGCTGTCATGCAAGTTAATGCCAATTTAGGAGGAGTGAATACAGGTGCTATTAAGAAGGAGATTTTATATATAATAAAAACGGTCCCTAATTATGGCCAGCCAATTGGCTCACGTTTCGCAATCATTGCTGACGTTAACAAAGTTTCAAAAGATGATAATGTTGCAAGGATGTCTAATCATCAGGATTTTAATGCAATTAGTCCAGAAATCAAGCAACATTCCTGATTTGAATCAGTTAACCATCATGGATACGTCAGCGCAAAATATTCCTCAGCCAGCTAAGCATATGGGTGATCTAATTAATAGTCTGACTAAGCCTTCGATTCGGGCCCAAGAGAAAAAGAACCAAGAAGATCAACTCCTGCAGAATGGGTGCGTTATAGTTTCTAGAAAAAATAAACAACAGTTACCGAAGATGACTGGGGCGGTGAAGGAATCTTTTGTTCTAAAGAAAAAACAAACGGGTCTTGCAGTATCTTCTAAGTCTTTCAAGCTTCCATCTAAACCTCAATCTTTATCGAGGGAATCTAAGTAGAGAATTTTTTTGAGTTTGTCTAAAGGTGATACAAACATGTTTCTCAATGATATAGCTCGTAACGTGAATCCTTCTCCAAGCTCGATTGCACTCTAGTTCCATTTCCGGGAAACAGGAGAATGGTCAGCTTCTTAGAGGGCCAGCAAAATGGAAAAATCTAAATACCGGACGAAGAGTTTAAGGAGACTAATGAACCCCCTGATGCTTTGGTTAAATCGGTGTTAGGCAATCAGGCTCACAACAATTTGGTGGATTCGGATGGTGCTTCCATTTCGGGAGATTTAAGTGTGCAAACTGTTCCTCAATGATTGGTGTTCATACCATTCTTTCTTCTTCTCTGTATTTGTTTTTTATGAATATTGTTTCATGGAATTGTAGAGGGGCTGGAAAAAAGGGCTTTTCCCCCTAATAAAAGACCTCACAAGAAGATATCGTATTTGTATCTTAGTGCTTTTGGAAACCCGTATTGGTGGACTGCGTGCAAAGCAAGTGGCTAAAAGCCTAGGGTTCTCAAATTTTTTTATTTCTGACCCGATTGGTTTTTCAGGAGGCATATGGATTCTTTGGAATTCATCAGAAGTGAATATCCAAGTTCTGCATACTGATCATCAATTTATTCATTCAAAGATAAGCTGGCTTAATTATCATAAGCAGGAATTTTTCACCTTTGTTTATGCTAGTCCTCGGCGTCAAGAGCGTCATGCTCTATGGGATGCTTTGGAGAATATTCAGCCGCAAAATAATAATGAATGGTGCATTATGGGTGATTTTAATACTTACATTCACTCGGAGGAGAAGAGGGGGAGTTCAGTTCACAATTGGAGGAGCATGCAGGATTTTCAAGATTGTCTTATGTCTTGTCATCTTAGTGATCTGGGGCACCAAGGTCCGAGTTTTACTTGGAGAAGAGGTAATCTTTTGGAGAGACTTAATCGTGCTTGTGTAAATCAAAGCTGGAACATGTCATTTCCGAACAGAGTTATCTCTCACCTTCCTTTTTATAACTCTGATCATCGTCCAATCCTTCTTTGGGATGGACAACCAAATTTTAGTAATGGAGGGGCTCGTCCTTTTCGTTTTCTAGCGGCTTGGTTGACTCATAATTCTTTCTCTGATCTAGTGAAGAGGTGCTGGGCAGGTGGTCACAATTGGAAAGCATCTAGTGAAAACTTTCGAGAGAAAGCCACATCCTGGCATAAGGATTGTTACAAGGAGGAGGAGAAGTTAAAAAATAATCTTCATTCTCGCCTCCGTGGAATTGATTATAGCTTAAGTCATTCTCTGGAGAGGCTGCAGAAAGAGATCTGGCAACAGTTAAATACTATTTATCTTAGAGAAGAGATTACATGGTACCAAAGATCTAGAACTGACTGGATTCGGTTTGGTGACCGTAATACTAAATTCTTCCATTCAGCAACAGTTGCCAGGCGTAGGAGGAATAGGATTGATGCCCTTCAAAATGATGTCGGGGATTGGATTGCTGACCCTTCTCTTCTCATGAGTATGGAAGTGGAATACTATGATAATTTATATAAGGAAGATATTCCTCTCCGGCCTAATTTTCCCATTAGGAACAAATTCCCAGAAATGGAAAGGAGAGTTATGATGGCTCTTGAGAGCTGCCCTAGTAGTCAAGAGATTAAAGAAGTAGTGTTCTCAATGGGGCCTTTTAAAGCGCCTGGTGTTGATGGTCTTCATAGCATATTTTTTCAAAGCCAATGGGATGTAGTGGAGAGCTCTGTTTGTAATTTCATTAAGGGAGTCTTCAATGATCCTAGTCGTATAGAAAAAGTGAATCAGACTCTTCTTTGCTTGATTCCTAAACTTGAGAATCCTCATACTTTCAAGGATTTTCGTCCGATTAGCTTGTGTAATGTTATTTATAAAACGGTAACAAAAATTGTTGCTAACCGTTTAAAATTGCATATGGACAAGCTGGTGATGCCTAATCAGTGCAGTTTTATCAGAGGTAGACAAGGTACGGATAATGTCATAATTGCTCAAGAGCTAATCCATTCAATGAGGAAAAAGAGAGGATCTAAAGGTTGGATGGCGATCAAGGTTGATCTTGAGAAAGCATACGATAGGATCAGTTGGAATTTCCTTCAGGATACCCTATATGATGTAGGGCTTCCTGAAAATTTGATAAGACTAATTATGTTGTGTGTTTCATCTTGCACTATGAATGTTCTTTGGAATGGGGCTTGTACTAAAGAATTTCGGCCAACTAGAGGCTTAAGACAAGGAGATCCTCTTTCTCCTTATCTTTTTGTCCTCTGCATGGAAAGACTAGCCCATCTCATTTCTCAGGCAGTGGATCACAGGAGGTGGAAGCCAGTGAGGATTAAAAGGGGAGCTCCATAAATTTCCACTTATTTTTTGCTGACGATCTCCTTTTGTTTGCAGAAGCTTCTCAGGAGCAAGTGTTAATAATTCAACAGGCCTTACATATATTTTGTGATTCATCTGGTCAAAAAGTCAATCATAGTAAGACTAGAGTTTTCTTTTCTCAGAATGTGGGTCATACTCAAACAAACCATCTTAGTGGGCTTCTTGGTTTTTCTTTGACTGCGGATCTTGGAAGATACTTGGGAATTCCTTTGCATCATAAGCGAGTGGGTCGGTCATCTTTCTCTTATGTTTTGGATCGAATGAATTCTAGAATTGCTGCTTGGAATCATGCCAGTCTATCTCTAGCAGGTCGTGTTACATTATCTAAAGCAGTGTTATTACCAATCCCATCATATCCAATGCAGGTGTGTTCATTACCGCAAGTCACCTGTGAAGAGATTGATAGGAAGATTCGAAATTTTGTTTGGGGTTCATCTCCACACTCTAGACGTTCTCATCTTGTGTCCTGGAAGCAGATTTGCATGGATAAAAAAAATGGAGGCCTTGGACTGCGGAGTATGAGGGAAATGAACTCAGCATTTATCATGAAGGTTGGGTTCAACCTCGTAGCTCATCCAGATGCCTTGTGGTCAAAGTTCTTACGTGCTAAGTACAATGTGAAGGCAGGCATGACACCAATTATTCATGCTCCAAACAACAGCTCCCAGCTTTGGAAGGGAATTACGCGTCATTGGAATATTATAATGGATCATAGTCGGGTGCAGTTAGGCAATGGTCAGTCCACTATGTTCTGGCTTGATAGCTGGCTGCTCGATTGTGGTCCTTTGATCTCATATGCGGGTTCTCAGTTTTCTATTAGTGATACTCTTCAGAAGGTGGTGGACTACGTGGATGAATTGGGGCAATGGAAATGGAATTCTCTTCGACAATTGCTTCCAGATTCTGTGCTGCATCGATTTATGAATTTTCTTCCTCCTTCTAGTCAAGATGGCCAGGATCATTTAATTTGGAATGGAACGACAGATGGCAAGTTTACTGTTAAGTCAGCATATGAAATATTAGCCATCAAAGATACTACAATCCAACAGTTTCCTTGGGAAAGTGTTTGGAGATGGCAGGGGCCAGAAAGAATTCGCTTTTTTCTTTGGTTAATGGCAGGGGAGAAGCTGATGACTAATGTTTGTAGACTCCGCCGCCATATGGCTCTTTCAGATCTGTGTCCTAGATGTAATAAGTCTAGTGAAACTATCCTTCATACTATTCGCGACTGTCCACAATCAAAGGAAGTGTGGTGCATGATAATGCCTCATATAAATCAGCGTGAATTTTTCAACCTCAACCTGCACAATTGGATCATTTCTAATTTAGACAGCTCAAATGATTGGGGGATGGGGTCGGACTGGCCTCTTTTATTTGGAATCTTAGCCTGAAAAATTTGGAAATGTAGGAATTCTTGGGTTTTTGAAGGTGATCGCCAGAATGCTTATTCACTTATCCGTTCAGCAATTGGTTTCAGAGATAGTGTCGCTCTTGCAGCTAACCCTGTTTTTGGAGCGGGCAATCAACCAAGGAATCGAATAGAGAGATTGGTTGCTTGGTGTTGTCCTCCTGTGGATTGGGTTAAGCTTAATGTTGATGGTGCATGTGATGCTAATGGTACTAGGACTGGGTGTGGAGGAGTTTTTCGAGATGCCTCAGGAACTTGGATCGTCGGATTCTGTAAAAATTTAGGCTCAGGTACAGTTTTGCATGCTGAGTTATGGGCTTGCTTGGTTGGTTTGGAGCTAGCTTGGGATAGAGGTTTTAGGCAAGTTTGGCTCGAAGGAGATTCTCTTTCAGCTCAACAGCTCATTACAAATGGGTGCCACCATGATTACCCTGCGGCTAATTTGGTGAATCGTATTCGAAATTTGATGCAGCGAGATTGGCAGATTTATATGTCTCACATTCACCGTGAAGGAAATAGAGTAGCGGACTTTCTAGCCTCTTACTCTTATGGTTTCTCTTGGGTAATTCAGGAATTTGATTGTCCACCGTCAGGTTGTATTGATAGTCTGTATGGTGACACTATAGGTGTTCACTGGTCTAGGCTTTGTGCCTAGTTTCTTTTTGTTGTGTTTTTGTTTTAATTTCCTATTATTTCCAAAAAAAAAAAAAAAAAAAGTGAAGAGCGACTAAGAAAACCAATTTTTATTAACATACACTAACATAATATTACATTTATAGAAATTCACATAACAGCTTTACACAGTAATGATATACATCAATTTAAAAAGAAAAATAAATTACAATCCTGGTGTGCCCATAAGATAACTTGGGCAAAAGCCAAGGCACTTCGACATGGATCGAAATCAACCAAGGTGGTTGTCATTATAATTGCATTACGTAAAGGCGGTGCTTGTCTACTAAAAATCGTTGGCTGAATTCCAGATTTTTCGGCTGGTCCCAAGTTTCATTTCTGAATTTTGTCGTGTTCATGATAGAGCTAACAGCTGCGGAGAATGATTTGGGTTAGGTGAACATTGATGCAATTCATTTGATTGATGTATTATTATGTACTCTTTTTCCGGTCCCCAATTCTTATTCAAGTAAATAAATTCAAGTACTGTCAGACTTATATCACTTTTTTTTTTTATTAAGAGTCATAAACTAAATGGTTATTGGTATTATAATGTATTTTATACACAAACATATCTAAATGAGAAGGAATGTAGACTGAAAGTAAATAGTTTTTTTTTATTACAAAGAGAATTTAAGACCTATTGATATTGAAAATGAAAAAAAAAAAAAACTAATTTGGAAATAACAAACCTCAATGAAATTTGATCCCTACCTGAAAAACCATTTTGGCTGACAACATGACAAAACATTTAAATGAGCTGAAATTACGAAACGCCTGAAAGAGGTTTTCGATATTTTTACTTTAATAGGCAGTTGCAATATTTCTGCAATTCTAATCAAAACTTTTTCCCGTTTTAATTTAATCTTCTTTTTCCTCATCCTTCCAAAATTATAAAAAACGGGCACACAAAACGTATTCGTATATAGCTATATCTATACAACTATACCTCTACATATTTAGGGTGTTTGTTAAAGTAATAAAACATCTACAAATTTATATTCACACACTCTTTATACTTCTGAGAATCAAAAGTACATGCTGCCCTTGAAATATATTAAAAAAAAAAAAAAAAACTAAAAGACTTTAGTGTCTTTAAAAGGAAAATATCAACCCCCCCCCCCCCCCCCCCCCTATCTCCTCAATTACCCCTTTAAAGACTTTGTGTGAATTCAGACAATTTTTTTGTTTTTTTTTTTTATTTAACTTTTAGAACGTGAGTTTGTAGGTATTTAGAATTTAGCGTATGTAATATAATTTGAGTTTGTAAAGCACAAATTTGGAAGTATTTTTTTAATTCATCTTACAATAGTTAATTGTTTATTATTTTTTTTATATTTGGTTAATGTGTTCATTTAAGAAAAATATCTTAAAAATTCAAAAAATATTTTATATTTTCTTCTTCAAATAATTAGGACGTGTAAAAAAATATTATTTTTAAGTATTAACATCTGCTTAAAAGGTACACGTTAGCAAAAACCCATTTTCTATACTCATATTTTAAAATATCAGTAGTTTAGGAGAGAAAATAATTCATTGTAACATTTTTTGAAGTAGCTCAAATTGTCTACGTTTTCTCGAAGTACTATAACGAATATTTGTGCTTTTATTGTAAAAAAATTATCTATTACATTCACATAAAAGTGAATGGATCCACTAATTTTTTCAACTTTTTTTCCCTAAAATGCTAACCATTTAAACAAATGGTTGTTGGTTGTGATAACAATTTTCTAAATACACATACATGAGTTGAGACAGTTTTGTTTCGTAATTGAATGATTGCTAGTAAGAGTGCATAGGAGTTGGCGTTAAGTTATAGAACGGCCATTTAACATATGCCAGGCTGTTACCAAATTGACACAGCTTGACCATTCAAGTTCATTTAGACGGACATGGACCACCGGCGAGCCGTCGTTTTCCTCGGGCCTACCCTTTGAACCATCAAATCCTCAGTCATAATATAATATCTATATGGGCTTCATATTCTTTTATTTAAACTTATGCATATATTTAGGAGAAGACATAACTACATCAAAAATCTGACTAAAATCGAAGTTTGGTTTTCTTTTTGAAAAATTTAATCTTTTGGTTAAGTTTTCAATTTCATTAATGAAACTAAATCAAGCTCAAATAGTTAGTCATGTATTTCCTATAAGGGTTTTACTTCTCTCTAGTAGGAGATAAATTATCTTATGTTGTAAGACAGATAAACTGAGACCCACTTATTTTATTTTATTTTAAAAAAAGAGGCACGTCTTTTTATGTGAGTATAGTATGAGAGATCAATCTCATGCAACATGAGAGTATAGTCCCTTCTCATAATCTATATATTTACAATGATTAAATTTCAACATATTGTTTTTTTTCTAGACTTTTAGGCTATTCTATTATTTATATTTATTGATTATGATTATATTAAGATTATTATGTAAATTTATGGGTTATTGGTTCATGAAAATAAAATTATTAAAAAACATATTGATTTAGTCTTTGATTCATAGTGTTATGGCATATCAGAAACTCATAATTCGACTTACTTCAAACAATATATGATTTAGCCTAAGTAGTAAAACAAAGCGAGCCCTTGCCTCCTAGTCAACAATCAGGTCATAAGTCTATTTAAAAAATGTTTGGACTTACAAGCCTATAGGTTGGCATCCATTAAAAAAAAAAAAAAAAGAGTCTATATAAGTTGGCCTATTAGGTATTTGTAATTGTATGTTTTGCAAGGAGTGTAATTGTCAATGGCTTAGGATTGTAAATACTAAGATCAACACTAAAATTTAGATTAGATTTATCTTTTCTTAACTTTTCATTGAAAAATATTTTGAAGAGATGAATTGGTAATCATACAAGTTATTTCTACATATTATTGTATTCCCACTTTTTTAAACAATTCATATTTGATTTGTTACAAATATTTGAAATTATAATCGTCCTGGTAGGTCAGGTAAAACTTTTTTATCGTTAATATATATATATATATATATATATATATATATATATATATATATATATATATATATATTATTTTTAACTTCTACTTACGACATTTTTCTTTTATACTTTACACAATTTCAAACATAAAATGATTGTATATAACGACACTAAATTGGAATTTATTTCATATAAAGACCAAATTTAAAATGAGTGTAATATATAAGAACCAAACATATATTTTAAACAAAGGAAAAAATTGTATTTAATTTATTTTTATTTAAGGAAAAAAGTAGCCAGCCAAAAATTGATCCGATTAAACTGATTAAATTTGTTTGATAAAAAATAAAACCAATGACAATGAAGCCTGTACGCTAAAAGTTTATAATAATATTATTAAAATCAGTCTAAGCTGGCCGAGGAGACAGGTTCAATCGGGAATTGGATCGCTTGCATTCCTGGAGAGGAAATCATGAATGCTTATAACATTTATCACTACACTAGAGTCTCATAATATTTCGTCAAAAGTTCAGAAGAGAGAGAGAAATCTATGGTTTTCCTTAGAATCATTTTTCTCCTGTGGTTTTTTTCATTCAAGTTCACTCCACGGACAGTTAAAAGTTAGATTAAGTTGTCTATTTTGCCCGGTTAAGAAAACCATAGTAGGATTTTAACAGATTTCTAGCCCGATTGATTGACTTTCCTAACCTTCTTTCTTTTCTTATGTGCTTGACAATCCAACATCTCATGTCTCTTTCCAAAAACCAATCATCTAAATATAATGATTGATTGCAAAAGTCTTTCATTTCAAATTGACTAAATATAATCGAAATATCCAAATAACTCTCCTTTGTTTGGTGGTGCTTCGATATTGTTCCAATGTAGTATCCAAATAACCATCGTAATCTTTTCTTTGCTCTTTTTTTTTTTAATATACTTTAATTGGTTCATTGTTTTGCAACTAATCCAATTTGGGGCGGGTCTCGAGATTAAGACTTTAACCAAAGACGATACTCTAGAAGATCGAACACATGCTCTCACCACTACCTGTTCAATTCCTTGGTACCAACTAAGTTACCATCATTTGGTATCTTTTTTTTGGCCTTTTGACTTTAATAGTCTCATCTTGCTAATGTTTGACCGAAATAATTTCTTAGTCAAACATATTACCTATATAATGCATAACGACGCAGCACTGTGAGAAACATTTTAAAATGTGATACATATGCAACCGCGTCTTGTGCATTTGTTCAAATCAGTCACATTACTGGAACGTGTTATTCTCTCAACCGCGTCCATTGCAAAAATAATTGCAAGGGACGCGGTACTGCACCAACCGCGTGTCAGAGAACAAAAACAATGTTTAACTGATGTATAAGAGTACTGCACCAACCTATATTTTGTTGTTGTTATTAAACATGGATAAAATACACGTGAAAGTACTAATCAGTTCTTTTTCTTTCATAGTAAACAGTGTACTAAAAAAAAGGGAAGCACAGAGAGAGAGGTCAAAAAGCATTTTTTGGAAACTTTAGGAAGCTTGAACTAACCGAATTTCCAAGATGATGTATATATTGTATTTATCTCTTCACCCCAAGATGCTGATAAAAAGTTTATCAAAATAAAATAAAATAATAAGATGCATATAAATATATTAAAATATGTTATTTTAATCCAAATTATTATATTTTATGCTAAGAAAAATAGTTACACAACAAATATCATGATTAGAGAGTGAGAGTTAGGGATTCAAAAAGGACTTTACTCATTTTTTTGTTAGGGACTAATATGAATATTTTGTATTGAAAGGGACGAAAGTGAGGACCGTATTTTTTTAATATAAATATCAAATAAAAGAGTAAAGTTCCTTTTGGGTTCTTAACAAAAAATACGGTTCCCATTTTTGTCCCTTACAATACAAAATATTCATATTAGTCCCTTACCAAAAATGAATAAAGTCCTTTTTGAGTCCCCTAACTCTCACTCTCTAATCATGATATTTGTTGTGTAACTATTTTTCTTAGCATAAAATATAATAATTTGGAT